GTGGTTTTTTGAGGTAAAACGAAAAACTATATTACGCTCTATCTATATGGTATTGAGCACTGTTTGTGTTTCGTAAACCAAAATCTTAAGTTATATATATATATATATATATATATATATATATATATATATATATATATATATATATATATATATATATATATATATATTATATATATAAATATATATATACAGGGTGTATCAAAATAAACGCAATTCATCTTTTGTGCTTAATAACTTTCGAAATACTATTTCTACTTAAACGCTTTTAGGCTTACTTCAAAGCCTGTTCTTTTCTCTTTCAAACAAACTATTATCCTTGTCTCCAATGCTAGTAATAATTGCACAGGAAAAGATTTAGTAAAACCTATCATTTTTAGTTGCTGTTTAATTATGCAAGTTTACTATGTTATTGTTTAGTCGGTTTAAATGTTAGAATTTTCTTCTTTAAACTTTAATGTTGTCGTACACTACATCTGGAAAACCACGTAAGAACAAATTAAAAGTATTTTAAAAGAGACCAGGTTGTTTGAAAATCCTAAACGAATGCTAAAAATCGTCAAAACATTCTGGTGTCTGAGCCAGAGTGTCATCGAACTGCGATGTAATGTAAACAGAAATTATAGCAAGTTGATGTCAGTCAGCTTAGATGGTCCAAGCCCAAATTATATCGCATTTGAAGTTTCAAACTGAGTTAAAAATAGTGGAAGAAAAGCCGTAATTATACTTATTGTTACAACCATTTAATAAAATGCAACATTTTTTGTTTTAATGAAAAAATCAGTTATTTTCATGAGAACGATTTGTTATTCCATCTCAATTTTTTTAATCTCCAATCGCAATAACGTAAAGTATTATTACCCGCGAACCAATGAGTCAAATTTAAGAAACAACCCACTGTTAGAAAGCTGAATGGCTACGCTTTAAAATGAATGTAAACTTTAACGTTTTCGTATATTATTTGTTTAGCAATTTACATTTCAGTCGAGGATTGCGCTTTTTTTTATACACCCTGTAGACAAAAATTTCATCACAGCTTGAAAGAGCATCACAAAATTAGTAATATTCCAAAGTTTCGTTGCGAAATGTTGTAAAATGTGGATAATATAGCCTTGCGAAGTTTGCAATTTTCTAGATTACAAACGGGAAATTGACAGCCTCAAAGGGTTTGGGGCTGTCAATTTCCATTTGTAATCTAAAATGACTGAAAATTGCAAACTTCGCAAGGCTATATTTTCCGCATTTTACAACATTTCGCAACGAAACTTTGGAATATTACTAATTTTGTGATGCTCTTTCAATCTGTGATGACATTTTTGTTGAGATCAAAATTTAGTCTATTACGCAAATGGTCAATTGCCCTGAATATTTGGTATCTTCAGGTATCTTTTACCAAAAAATCAAAAAATTTGGCGACCATACAGTGGGCGTCAAAAGTCTGAGTCCAGTCATTATGATTTTATCGCTTCCCTGCATATATTAAACCACCATCGGCAAACTGCTTGTCAGGTTGAGCTCGCTTTTATATGCTGCCGAATACTACAAGACCAGTCAAAGCCTTTATGGCATGATTATGGCTTATATGTACCCGGTTGTTGACACATAGCCGCTTTATTGTTTTAATCAATTTTTAATAATTAACAAGAAAATTATTAATTAATAACTTATAACATTTAGCACAGAAAAGGTGTGGGTATTACTAACGCCCACTACACATAACGTATCTATATAAGTTCAACATATAGCGTCTAAAAACGGGGAGGAGGGTGGGTAAATCTCTTACGTCCAATTTCTTGATGTGAACTGCAGCCCACGTGGAATAGGAAAGAAAAGATGGCCCGCTTCACCAATGATAAGTACCGAAACTTCCAATCACGTGACTGGACTTAAAAATTAACTTGCGCACGCAAATAACTTATTTCGCATAATTAATTTCAACTATAACTTATTCCAGGAAGCAATAAAAAATTCTTATCGATGTGGCAATAAGTTCCTTTACACAAAACACCGCTATATGTGCATCGAATTAGGATTTACATCAACGTTGGAATTGATTACACTTTTTTAGCCAAGTGAACATTATTTTAATATTTTGTGTGACGACTGTGACCTCCTTTGATTTTAAAACAGCTTTAACTTTTCCTGGCATAGATTCGACCAGTCTTCTATGTTAAGGTTATTCCAGCATTGATTAAGGACATCCCATAGGTTGTCTTTACTTATGGGATCATGTTTCACTTTCTCTCGTTTCAAATGATCCCATAAGTTCTTAACCCGAGATTGAAGAGGAAAATCCATAACAACCAGATCGCCTTTCTCTTGCTTCCTTCTTAAACAATTTTTCACACATGTGGGAAGTGTGTTTCGGATCATTGTGTTACAAGGCTTCATTTATAGGTAGAGAATTGTTACAATCAACCTCTAATAACTATCAGTTCTTAATATAATGTTCGTCTTCTTGTAGTAGTTTCCTAAAGTTCAATTCATTTCACTCTATAGTCCACTGTCCATTGACGAATTTTGGTTGTGCACGCACTTTTATACTGACGGTTGTGGGGATCTTTTTGCACTTTTATACTGACGGTTGTGGGGATTTCGTAACAATTGTCCCATTGCAAGACAAATCCCCTTCCACACAACCTTAAGCTAGATGGTATGGCTTCTCTTTGAATCTATGCCAGGAAAAGTTGAAGCAGTTTTAAAATCAAAAGGAGGTCACAGTTGTCACACAAAATATTAAAATAATGTTCACTTGGCCAGGGGCGAAACTAGTTCCTTTTAATTAGGAGGGTGTCTGCTAGAATTGCCCTGTGAAAGCCGATGATGCCCTGCAGCAAAAATTTTTTTTGGCACTATTTCTCCCAAAAATTTTGGGAGAGGGGGGGGGGCGGGGTCGGTCGAAAGGGGCCAAAAAGGGGCGAAAAAAATTTTCCGGACATAAACCAGTTAAATTAAGGGTCAAAAAAAATTTTCGGACAAACTCCTGTTAAAACATGCATGAAACCCTTATTTTTGTACCAATATCTGTAAAATTTAGGTCTATAAATTCTATTAAATTCCCTCTGGAAGCCCTGGAATCTACTTAATAACTCTACATTCTATCATTTAAAATCTTTCATTGCCCTGCCAATCCAGATGATTTGCCCTGCCTATCCAGATGATTTGTACTTTGGGGGGTGTCACACCCCACACCCCCCTCAAGTTTCGCCCCAGCACTTGGCTAATATAGCATAATCAATTCCAACGTTGATGTAATGTCTTCCACAAGATGCATGGAGCTTCTGGTCAACGGGTCTCCTTGCAACTGCTTCTGCAGTTGTTGATTTATATTGAAACGAAACGAATCTATACTTAATGCAATATTCACGTGGCCACCTAAAAGGCAAAACATTATATATTTGATGGGCATGTCAAATAATTGTATCAAATATTTAATTAAGCAATATTCTGCAAAACCTCCAGTTCACATGGCCATTGGAGATTAGTAAAACCAGTTGTGAAATTTCGGCTTGAGTTGTATATCAGATAAAGATCGGCTGCTCATGTTTTAACTAGTACTTATTGAATAATACGAATGTTCTCATCAGTACATTCCGCAATGCAATTTGTGTATCCGATACTGACACGGCCGCTCATGATGTAGTTGGTGCGTATCATTCTTAGGTATGCTTGTATCAATCAATGGCAATAAACTGATTACTTCTGTGTTCTACAAGCCCACTCACTCCCGCAGCTATCTTAATCTTACATTACATTACGTTACGTTAGGGACCGCTCATTATTTATTGTACAGGAGGGAGGGATTGAGGAGAAACTAGGGGGCCTTCAATTTTTTTAAAACCTGAAAGGGGGGGGTCTTTGAAAAAATACAGGGAGACGAAAGAAGGGGGGCTTTGAAAAGCTTTACCAGTTTGAAAATATCAACGAGGTGAGGTATGCATGTAGTGTATATATGTACCAGTGTATTAATGAATTATGAATGTATGACTCCAATCTTGCCCTAATCATTACAATTGCTACAAAGTTTCGTTTAAAACATTGCATTAAAAGGTACTTGACACAGAGATGAATGGCTATCACTGTTTCAATTTTACAGAGAAAACTTTCTTACGTCACGAAGTGTAGATCCTAAGCAACCATCACATTTTCACTTTGTTCCATCATTGAAACTAATTCCCAAGGGGAGGTGCATGACCTTTCAGGACAGGTGGAAAAATTCTCAGGGGAGGTGTAAAACGTTCTCAGGGGAGGTGCGCACCTCTCCACACCTCGCCTCAAAATCCGGTCTTGATGCAAATAAATCACCACACCTAGAAAGAGCATACTAAAAGAAGTAAATTATTGCAAAGTTTGGTTGTGAAATGTTGTAAAATACGGAAAATATAGCCTTGTAAAGTTTGCAAATTTTGTATACTTTTGTATTGCATGCAAAAATTGCAATACAAAATTACGAAGTTCTCTGGGTCTATTTTCGTCCAAGTAGACTTCCCCGCGGGTTTTCCTGCTTGATACTTGGTGTCGTTTACCATCCACCTAATGCTAATGATGATGAAATGCTCCAATTTCTCTCCACATCACTGATTACTATTGAAAGCACCTATCCTGGCTGTGGATTTATTCTTGCAGGCGACTTTAATCGGTTAAAATGCAATCGGATATTAACACAGTTCAGTTGCAAACAGATTGTTAACGTTTCCACAAGGGCCAACCAGACTTTGGATCTAATAATAACCAACTTACATTCGTTTTATGATAAGAACTCCGTCCAAAAATTTCCGCCATTTGGTCTTTCAGATCATAATGTTGTGATTGTCAATCCTTGCAAAAGAGAACCCAAGTCATGCAGTAGAAGAATTATCTCTAGTAGAGATTTACGATCTAGTAAAAGGCATGAGCTTGGTCCAATCTATCGATTCATTTCGCATGTGTCAAAATTATTCAGAGAGGACCAATCTATCGATTGGTCCTCTCTGAATCATTTTGACACATGCGAAATGAAACTCCAGTATTTCGAAGAGTTAGTACGTCTCGGTATTAGCACCATTATGCCAATAAAGAAAACGGCTTTGCATGTACATGATCCTCCATGGATTACTGCAGAATTTAAAGAACTTATAAGGAAGCGTCAAGCTGCCTTCTGCAGTGGAAATACCTTTCAGTTCAAGTATTACCGGAATCGGGTTAACCGCGAGCGAAAGACATGCCGGGCGAAATTCTACTCTTCAAAAGTAAAGAATCTTAAATCGACCAAACCGAAGAGATGGTGGAAAGAGGTGAAGCAGATTGCTGGTATGGTACCTACAACCGGCTCCGATGACCTATGTAGTCAACTTCATTTAGACGATATCGAGAATATGCAACGTCCTGACATTGCGAATTTAATTAATAACGCCTTTTTGGAGCCCATGAACTCCTTCAATCCACTGTCAACCCTTCCCCCCTTTGATAATTATTCCTCTTTTCAAGTGAACGAATTGGAAGTCTTTCATTTATTGAAAGCAATTAATCGTGGAAAGGCGTCAGGTCCTGAGGAAATTCCCAATTGGGCTCTTAAGGAATATGCTGAAATCCTTGCACAGCCAGTATGCGCTGTGCTAAACAGCAGCTATGCCGAACAACAACTCGTTTCTCTAAATAAAGATAAAGAGCTAGAGGGTGGACCAAAATGGCAAAATTTATGTTCTTGTTTTGCCTGTTGGGGGAGGGGGGCTTTGAAAATTTTACTTGTCTTAAGAGGGGGGCAACGAAACAATATTATAACTGTAGAGTTTCTCCTCAGTCTCCCCCTGTACAATAAATAATGAGCAGTCCCTTACGTTACGTTATCATTCAGCTCACTCCCCATTGGGGTTTTTCAGTGACCTATTACATCAAGTATTAATACGCTCATCTTACTTAGCCTAGACCATTCATCTTTACAACAATTGAGATATTACGTTCCTAACTGTGTTTATCCTAAACCCACCCTGTAAATACTCAAAATAATTTAAAATATTTATATAGGAAATAAAACGTGAAATGACTGGTTTTTTTCACGTGAAACGTGATCCGAACGCTCTCTCCCCAATATCGTCAGTTAATAGCTAATACTGCATGTATTATTATGAATTGTGCATTGCACGGCTTGAAATAACAATTTTGACTGTACCGTCCTGGTCCTGGTTATTCAAACGATATAGTCAATAGAATAAAGAAGGTTGGTATATGTTTTTATCACGGTTTATTAAAAAAAATGGTCAGTTGATCGTCATATGTGTATTGTTTAATTGTTTTGGCCAAACCAACCAATAGCAGTGTCAACGATGTTGGTTTAATTATCCAGTCGTGCTATTACACAACGGTTAAATTAATTGAAAACATAGCTGTTGGTTAATTTGGCGAAAATACAACAAACACCTGACGACGAACCGAACATTTTTTGCGTAAATCAGGACAAAAAACATAGAAACATAGACAATATTCTACTGACTATGATAAAAATTAGCGTTTCATGCATGAGTTAATTTGTTTCAATTCATGTTAAAATTCCCAAAAAGTCCGGGCAGTGGATCTAATGTACACAGGGACGCCGGAACTGGGGGGCAGGCGCTGCCCCCCTTGCCTTTTGCTAGGGGGGGGCAGAAGTGCCCTTTTAGTTGTAAAATACTACGCGATAAATCACATTTCCAACGATGCTTTTGTTGGAAAATCATGAGATGGTGTGCGTCCGCCCCCCTTTGCCTTATTATCGTTCCGGCGTCCCTGAATGCACATTAAATTGTTCCGTTCTTTGACAGTTGATAAAACACATCATTTAACAATTACAACCCATACTCACAAACGTTTTAATAATACTTGCAGCATTAGGATAGCCGGAATGAATCTTTACCTTTTGAGTAAAGTCTTTTTGATAGGTTAAAAAGTTTGTTTCGCAATACTTGTAACTGGTAATTGACGAAGGTGGTTAATGTAAGAAAATAATCTTTTGAATATGGGGATTCATAGAGGGAATTTACCTAATTCACCCCTACTAGCGATATTGCTTGCTTTCCTGTTCAAACCTAAATAGAGCAAAATTTCAGATGTGTTTTCTCAGTACTATAGTTCTGTCCCATTTAGTAAAATCGTTGTTACCATAGGCTCCCCAAACCTCAGAATTATAAAGCAAGATTGGAGAGACTATGCCATCAAAGATTTTTATGGCAAGTTTTGGTGTGAGTTTCTGTCAAGATTTTTCCGTGTTTTAAGTAAGGCAGGCATAGCCTTTTCACTCAGTTGCTGAGGCGCAACTGAAAATTTAGTGTTAGACCGAGATAAGTGTATTCGTTTGTAATATCAATACATTCATCTCCCAAGAAAAAGTCGAGTGTTTGTAGTTTAGAGTTATGTTTTTGTAGAATCATAACTTTGTTTTTTTTTCAAATTAATATTCATTTGCCATTTTTTGCTCCATTCATTGAGGGAGTCTAGACAATTTTGGAGACCAGATTTTGATCTTGATACTATGACAAGATCATCTGCATATACAGGGTGTATAAAAAAAAACGGAGTCGTCTTAAATATCCTTATTTCTATCGTAAAATAAACTACCATAGTTTCATTTTGTCCTCAATTTAAAGCTTGTTTTTTCATCTTTCGAATGAAGGGTTTCTTGAAAATTTTGAACTAAGGCTAATCGCAATAAAAATAATTTAGTACAAGCGCTCGTTTTTAGATGCTTCGAAATATTAATCTTCGAAGTCCCTTGGGGACTTAATTAAAGGTAGTTTGCTAAATTTCAGAACGTTGTTGTTTAAAATTTTACAATCGCCATTCATAATTCCAAAGCTAACAGTTCCGGAAAGAACATTCATTGTTGAAAAGTATTTCGAAACAAAAAGCGTTGTTGCAGTGTTAATAAGACAATTTCAAATAGCCTTTCCAGGACGTAATCTTCATCGAGCGTTTGGCGTAATGTCAACAAATACCGGGTGCATGCATTGAATGGAAGAACCACGCCATAAAGTTTAAATCGAAATAAAGGAAACTCGGGAAGAAGAAGAGTTATCTTGGATATGAGACAAAGAACGAACTTGTGTGAACTTAGATATGGAGGCCACGTTGAGTAAATGTGTACTTCCAACTTTTTTTTTTGGAACGTTTAAATAAATTGTGAATTCAACGCAACTACGTTTTTTAATTTTCCAATTGCACTTACTTAAATTGACACAGCTCGCCAGCAATAATTCCAAATTTTATAAAATAAAGTATATAAAATAGCCGAAAGATCGCGATTTCGAAAGAATGCAAGTATAAACGTCTAACTTTCATATTCGCTTTGAAATTCACACTTCATGTGAGGACTTCGTTTTTTTTTATACACCCTGTAGTAGACTACTTAGTCTTGTTCCATTTGATAAAAGAAATGGGTCTGGGTTTACTTTTTCAAATAGATTAGGAAGTTCGTTTATATATAGATTAAAGAGAAGGGGGCTTAAAACACAACCTTGGCATACACCTCGATTGTAGGAGAAGAAGGGTGTTCTATGACCCGATACTTTCACTGCACATCGAATGTTACAGTACAGATCCTTTATCAGATCATAGAAGCATTCTCCAATTCCATTTTCTAATAGTTTCAAATAAAGACCTTCGTGCCAGACAGAATCAAATGCCTTTTCAAAATCAATAAAGCAAGCGTAAATTTTCTCATTATTTTGATTAACGTATTTATCATGCAACGTTTTTAAGGTAAGAATATGATCGACCGTTCTGTTATTTGGTAGGAAACCAATTTGAGAAGGTGTAACAATTCTTTAGTTTTCGAAAAGTTTATCAGTCTTTCATTGGACAGAGCAAAAGAACTTTCCTAACGAGCTTGATACGCATATTCCTCGGTAATTACTAATGGGTCTAATTTGTTCCCTGATTTAAAAATTGGTGAGATAAGTCCTTCACACCATACAGTTGGGAACTTTCCGGAATTCATTATTGGATTTCATTATTTCATTCTGAAGGCTTAATCCTATTGATCCAAAAGTTTTAGTGAACACTCGTGGTAATGATATAAACAACATATAAAACGTCTAGTATTGTAACTGAAATTCCTGGAGATTGGACGGAAACTTGCACAAGGCCCTGCATTGGAGAGACTGCCGCCATCTTCCAGAACAGTATTTTGATGTTGCTGGCTGATGACGTCATCCCTCAATGAGAACGAAGCAACGTAACAGTAGACGAGAATTGCATTGATTTACTTGAACCGTAAAACAATATATGAAGTCGTATGATATTTTGAGTTCTGCAAAAACGACTTAATATCAGCTTGCTTCCTATTTCACAAATCTTTAGATTTCACCAATTTAGAGGCTTCAACACTGACAGAGGAGGAGGTTGGGGAAGTGGCCTAGAATTGCTGTTTTTTGCAAGCATATATGTTTCCAGCAAGCACGTACTTTTTCCTCACGTACGCACTGTCCACAATAATTTTTGCCAGGATTGCATACTCGAAATTTTTAAGCGCTTTATATTGTTTTCATTGGGTTGTAGCTAATTTAGGTCAACAACAAAAACATTACAGTCGATATATTCAATGCTGAGGTTGTATTTGATTTTCTTTCCCAAGTACAATATTTTTGTTATTTTTACATTTTTTATCTATCACTACAACTAGAATTGGGTCTTTTTTCTTTGCCTAAAAGAAGAAACGCAAATTACGTGAGCACGTTATCATTTCCAGCTTTACGACGAAAAACTTTCAGTCCGATCGCATTGCCGAATACCGTCGCTAATACCCTAAGCTTGCCCTATTTTTTCAATTGAAGACTTTCGCACAAAGCAGATGTGTCTCAAAGTTATAATAGCCTCCAATGTTATCGCGTTGTGTTGATACCTATAAAAGACGTTCATTGATTTGGCTATGTCATGAAAACTTCTACACGCACCAAAATTCCTTCCAAAACAGTTGTAATCGAAAGGTTTTTAAAAGTAAATAAACAAAGTGCAAGAAACTGGTTAGCACTTCAATTTTATGACAAATATAAACGTTGTTTAGTTTGTTTTCAGGAATGTTCTACAGCATGAATTAAGTCCTACCAGGTTCATGGAAAATAATGGTTGATTACATAGCGGTAGGTGGCTCGGTTTCACTTGGGTGAGGTCGTCCGCTGGGTCGTCCACTTGGATGAGGTCGTCTGCTTGGGTGAGGTCGTCCGCTTGGGCGAGGTCGTCTACTAGGGTGAGGTCGTCCGCTTGGGTGAGGTCCACTTGGGTGAGGTCGTCCGGTTGGTCGAGGTCTCTAAAAAGTTTCGTAAAAAACACAAAAGATTTCATGACCCGGCTTTTTTTAGAGCTTTTATAACTAAATAACTGCAAAATTCTTTACATCAGCTTTAAGTCCATTTTCCTCACAAAATATCTTTCGTGTTTTTAAGATTATTGAAGATCAAGACGATTCGCCTCGGTGCTATTAGATGTACCGCCTTCAGATCGTATTATATCTTATACAACACAGCCGCCTATGTTGTATATATTATAATATTATACTCAAATTCTGTAATCAAAAAGCTTGGTTTTTACCACATGAACATGAATTTTTCATCGAATCACCCTGCGTCATCGTATCGTTTAATTATATTACCTCGAGTGACATGATTCATGAAATCAGGCGGAGGCGATCACGCGCATACGTAAGTAAGTAAGCAGGTAAGTATAGGGGGTGTGCTTATCCTTACTTGTAGCTGAGAGCTAAGCTGAATTGCGAAGGACACAGCTCATCGTGATCGAGTGGAAGGTTTTCTAAACGCCGTTTTCCATTAACGTCCGCTTTGCCCGCGCGGGCGAAGCGTTCATTGTTTTTGACGCCCGCGTGAGCGGATTATCAAAGCCCGCTCCGCCCGCGCGGGCAAAGCGACCGCAATGGCAAATTAACGGCCCTCATATAAGGGCGCATATAGCATCACGGAGTACAGCTACGATGGAAGGGTCACGTTTTAGGGAAAATTCTTCCCAACCCTGTCAACATTCCTTGTGGGAGGAAACCAGAGTACTCGGAGGAAACCCACGACTTTCGGCAGAGCGTTGACTAAATATTTTCACATGGCTATCATAAGTCGTCCCCAACTCATCTGGCCGATATAGAATGATGCGTTTTGGGCGAGTCAAAGAATATATTAGCTAGAATCGTCGTTTCTATTATCGAATTTGACGTCGACGTAAATAGTATGAATATTAATGTTGCCTTCAATGATTCACATCATACGACAGGAAAGAAAAAGGGATAAATCTCACGTAAACAAACAATATAACATTGTATTCACACAGTTATTTAGCAACTTTCCATTTTTTATAACATGTTAATATTCTTACCTTACATATTTTTTTCTTGGGATATTTTTTGCACTACAAATAGGAAAATAAACAGTTGTGTAAAGCAAAGTTATAATTTAAATAGTATTGGAACATCTCTAAGTGAGGAAAAAGCAAAACAAATTAGTTTTTCAATTTTCGTGAAAGTATGTATTCCATAGTGCGTATTAAATATTCAGTCACTTACTATTATCTTCATCAAGCATTTAAGTGCGGCCATCTTGTTCTTTTTGCACTAGAGTAATAAAAGGTGACGGTATGATTGCAAAATGTCCATTTTAAAAAGATCATAAGCTCGAATCTACTCATATAATGCATGTGGATTAAAAATTCAACAGAACATTTGAATTTTGAAATGATTATCAAAATCAATCCAAGGAGGCGAGGATTGGTTCACCAGAGTGGGATTTAAGGTAATGTCGCAATCCGGAAATTGATGGGGTATAGGTACCACAGTGATAAGAACATGCATGCATGTGCTTCCAAACTTCTATGACACCAGCTTAGATTGCTATGTAGACATGTTCCGGCCTTTCAACAACATTGCATCAAATGGGAAACGACAAAACGCAGACCCCAGGTCCATGGACTACCTTTGTGGACCTGGTCCATGGACTACACTCGTGGACCACGGACCACTCCCGTGGACCACTTGCGAAATTTCGCCTACCGAACAATAGACCAAGCACTATTATTCCGAGTTTAGGGAGCCGAGATTGGCGGGAACTATTTCATTATTCATTTCCATTATTTATTTCACAATCAATTCAGTTTTTGTTGATGAACAGTGAATACTAAGTCTGTAAAAATGCTGAAAAAATGTAGTCAGGGTTCCATTAAAAAATATAGGAATACTGTGGAGAATCTGGAGGGGAGGGGAGGAGGGGGTCAAAGGATTTTACTGAATTATTCGAATTTTACTGTTAAAAAATCACTTGAACTGTAGAAGTCGTAAGTTGCAATGACCTTTCAATGCCTGAAGGTCCTCTCCCAAAAATATTAATTTTTGAAGCTCGATTACTGCTTTTCTTGCATTTCCTGTAGCGATCGAGAAAAAAAACTACCAATTTTAAGGGCATATATTCGGAAACTTTGCATTAAAGTCGTAATTGCACACTTATATTTTAGAACGGTCATGTAGTGAATGGATTTAGAACTTCACATTTTGTGTAAAGTTTCCACAATGATAATAATGACTGAACTCGACTCGAGCACCGATTTTTGCATGCACAGTCAAGAATTCAAACCCCAAAAATCTGGTGTCTCGCAAGTGGTCCATGAGAGTGGTCCACGAGAGTGGTCCACGAAGGTAGTCCACGGACCAGGTCCACGAAGGTAGTCCACGGACCTGGGGTCCGCGTTTTGTCGTTTCCCGCATCAAATGTATAAGGAGTCCAAACTATGAGTAGAAAGGAGTGGAGAACTGATTTAACATTATGAGTATTTGTAGTCATGATTAAGTTTTACAAATACCTTTCCGATCCTTTTGCACAAGGCAGGCGGTTTATCTTTGCTGCACAACTGTAAACAAATAACCGCGATTGTTGTTAACGTTTTACAACTATTTGATTAATTATTATACAAAAAGGGGAAGAAACAGACTATATGTTCTTTTTCTTTTTAATTCTTTAAAAAAATCTTATTAAAACTGATCTACAAAATTTTCGGCTACCTCCTGTAGCTTTCATCAGTAGTTGACTACTTTCAATGAAAAATGTTAATCAAAATGTTTGGCACTGCATGATCGCTCGAACAGCATATGTGCTTTACCTTTCCCAAGAGTTTCTTTACTTTCTCCAGCAATTTGCCTGGGCGTGGCTGTAAAATATGGTTTTATATCACATATATAGTTATTGCATTATTTCCTTGGTTATAATATACAATTACTTATATCACATATTACATTTTGTATAAGATGAGGGAGATCCATGACTTCAGTAGTAGGGAAGTAAGTGTTTGTGCGACAAGAGTTGAGAATGTTTATAATATTTATAGAATCGATTCACATGAACCGAACCCATCTGCCACTGACTATAACTGTGTGTCTCTGTCTTGCCTCTTTTGTTTTATTGTTCCGGAGTCCCTGCAAGGCTTTCTAGCTATGCCATTCTACTTTATGGTTAATTCTATTTCATTTATTTCATTTCATTTCATTTAATCAATATTTAAACAGGAATATCCAATTTAGCGAAGGCTAGTTTAAATGGAGTCACTTACCCTTGGCCTCTTCAGACCAAGTGCATCTTCGTATTCGTCGTCAAATTCTTCAGTGTCAAAGTTGTAGTCTTCCTCCGATTCTTCGTCAAATTCTTCAGTGTCAATGTTGTAGTCTTCCTCTGCACTTACAAAAGCGCAAAGTCCGGCAAACAAGATCAACAACGCTAAAGTCTTCATATTTCACTCTTATTAGGTATTTGTTACTTTTGTTGCTTACAAGACAAGATGAATATAAAATTTAGGTCGTTGCTGCCTGCTTTTATACTTTCTAGCGAATGTTAATAAACTTGTTGAAAATTACAAATATAAACTAAAGTAACAGCTGAATATAAAACAATTTAATTACACTACCTTTTGTAAACATTTCGGTTACGACGTTTTCCATTGTGAAATAATTTGGTAAAAAACATGAAAACTGCAATGTCCATGCAATATATGCAACGAAACATAATTGTATATAGTATTAAGCGTTTGGGGCTTCTTTTATATATCCCAATGGACCTTTCCCCTTATAACTAAAATTTTGATCTAGACAAGTCTAGACAAAAATTTTATCACAGCTTGAAAGAGCATCACAATTTTCAGTCATTTTGTATTACAAACGGGAAACAACACCCGATTGGGCTGTCAATTTCCCGTGCGTAATACAAAATGACTGAAAAACGGCAAACTTCGCAAGGCTATATTATCCGCATTTTACAACATTTCGCAACGAAACTTTGGAATATTACTAATGTAGTGATGCTCTTTCAAGCTGTGATGAAATTTTTGTCTAGATCAAAATTTTAGTTACAAATAATGAGCTTTTTATAGTTCAGAAGTAAAGTTATTTAATGTTTTGTGTAGTAATATCTAATGAGGTGAGCTACGCGGTTAGGTCCGATTCAGAGGACTGCAAATTATGAATTATATCTCAGTTGGTATAGAGGGTCGAGCTAGCATTTCGAAGGTTGGGGATTCGAAAGCCTGTCCCGGGAGGCAGAATTGGGAGCATTCACTCGAGAACATTTCATCGTCGAGAAAGGAATATTTCATATATCTTCTTGGTTCACGAAATGCAAGAGAGTGCTCAACATATAGATAGAGCAAACAGCATTGCTTATCATACAGTATACATGGTTTCATCCAAGTTAAGAAATCATCAGGTTGTGAGTATGTATAGCGAGCAGTTTTTGCAAAGTTGGAATCTGGAAATAATTATATTATATAATTTCATTTAATGCACTATTTAACGCGGAAGACAATATGCCAGCGGATGGTTTTATAAAATGGAGAATTTTATTGTAGCAAAACATGAATGGACGATTGGAACATCGAAATTTTGAACTGGCTTATAACATCTATCAAATTTATTCGCTTTGACGTGTTAAACAGCTACATAAGCAAGATGTTAGCACTAGGAATTTAATGCTACAGGAGTTGCATAATTTTGTTACAATATTAGTTTGCACAGCTTTCCAGCACATATATTGCTTTTGTAGTAAAAATTAATTTTGTCATTTATCTGTTATGTGGCCATTAACTATGCTGCAACAAATAAGAAATTCAAATACTCCGATACATTTTATGTACAATGCTAGAATAAATAGTCGACATTTTCTTTGCATAACATAATTGAATACGATTTTCTGCTCGAAATTTCCATCCTCTAAAATCCTTTAAACTTGTTCTGTGGAGGGAGATGCCCAAAAGTTTGACAAATTTACAGCCTTAGCCCCAATGATATACTTGACCATGTTGCTCATTGATCATGCAGAGAACTGTACTAGGATCACCATCCTCAAACGATTTCTAAATATCTGGTCTGGTGAGATTTTAGGCAGCAACCACACTCGTATTGGCAAAACATGCAAACTGTGTTTTCCTCCTATTTGCATACTCCGGAGGCTAGCTTTAGCTATATTTTTTTATGAAAACATATTCAATATTCTTTTTGGTCACTTTAAAAATTGTAAAAGTTAGTGAAATCCATCAGTGCATTTTTTAAGGATTTTTCAGTGGTGGGGCAAAATTGCCAAAGGGCCCATTTTCCTTGCCCCCCCCCCCTCCAGGATAGTATGCGATCGCCGAAGATATGCGCTGAGTACCGCAGGCACGAGTTAGCGAGGGGGATCTGGGGGCATGTCCCCCAGGAAATTTTTAAAATTTGGGTCTCTGAAATAGCATTTCCTGCATTCTGAGAACAAATTTTTAAAAAATCTCATCTTCGATCTAAAAACACAGGCGGCCCAATCTCGCAAGGGTCAGTATAATAATGTATATTATTGTAAAAATATGTCATAAAATATAAATTTTAAAATGAAATTGACTTGCCTACTTGATAGTGGGTATTCTCCTTTTACTCCTCTTTTGTTGGACTAATATTTTCCAAAGTCTCGGAAAATATTAGTCCAACAGAAGAGGAATAAAAGGAGAATAATATCTCCTCATATTAGGAGATATTATTAAGAAGAATAAAAGGAGAATAATATCAAATAGGTAAGTCAATTTCATTTTAAAATTTATATTTTATGACATATTTTTACAATAATATACATTACTATACTAATCCTTGCGAGATTGGGCTACTGCGCTCAAAACAAAGTTTTAATGGTGAAATTTGTGACTCAAATATTTTAGTTTCTTTCCTTCCTATCCAACTGGGATTAGATAATTTGCCGAGTACCTGACGACTGGGGTGTTCCAACACCCACACCCATCCACCACCCACCCGTTTAGCACCACCCTTGACTGTTCTGACTTTTATAAGATGGAATGTCGAGTATGTGAGAGGGTATGAGAAAGCAGGCAGATGCAGCTTTTTCTTAATTTTGATTTCTCAATTTTGACCGATGCATTCGCATCGCTGGCATCGGTCTGGATCCGCCCTCTGACTAATGCTCTTTTGATTGAATACGTGGACACTCTAAGGGACCGGTCATAAAGTAAAAGTGGGGGGGTGGTGGACTGGGAAAATCATATATTTGGTGTCTGCACTTTTTGTAGCCCACCCCTTTATAGCTGCACGAAAATGTGTGGCCCACCCTTAAATTGGTGCTGAAAAATTATGACCCACCCTTTCAGAAAGGCAAAAGATACCAGCGTTCTATTTTTCTGTTGCCAAATAATTATGTTACAATACTCAATAGCTATTCAAATGGTGCAATTAAAATTCAGGGCCTCTTTTAACTGAGACAACCGAGTTGACCACCGAAGGTGCGAACTTCTAGAGGGTCTGAGAGCATGCCCCCCAGAAAATTTTGAATTTCTTGAAGCTCAGATAAGCTATATCCTGCATTTTGAGGAGTTTTTAACACGAAATTAACCTTATAAACAGTGACACAATTACTACAATTTCACAGTCTCCCAAATGTAATCCAGTCCCAATAAGGCAACATGGTGTGATGATACGGTAATTAAAATGTGTGTGTGGTGTAGTATTATCATTCACCACACTTCAAATTCTACAGTACACGTATTGGGGTACTTGAAATCGACGCATTTGTCTTCTCAGTGTCACTGAAGAGCAAGATAGGGTGGTCTCTTTGGAATATCTTTGCTTGGAAAAACTAAACTAGAATTTCGTCCTAAAATTCCATTTCATGCCTTTCTCCACGAGCAAATTATTTCAGTCATGGTTTAGGTTTCTGGCGATATGTTTAATTAAATTTCAGTCCCCAAATTCTGGCCTACCGAGTCAATTGACTCGGTTGACTCATAGCTAGATGATGGTCAAATTCAGAAATGTTAACAACTTAACATCGTTTTCTCACTTTGATACATAATTGCTGGTTGACAACCTACTGCATGTAGTTCTTAAGGACCTCACTGGGGGGGGGGCAAAATTGCCAACTGGAGGGGCCAGTAAGAGGGCTGGGGGGACATGTCCTCCCCAGTCTATATGTTAAAAGAGGCCCTGAATTAAATACAGAACAGGGCCGTAGAAAGCTCTTTTCGACTGGGGGCTGAAAGAGAGGGCCGAAGGCCCGAGGAAGTTTTAAAATTTAGAGTCTCTGAAATGCCATTTCCTGGACTTTGGGGAAGATTTGACAGAATTCTGATAGTCAGAAAACAGCGTTTTAGTATGTCGAAATTTACAATTTAGTAGTACTAAATGGGCGAAGGCGTACTTAACTAACTATATATTGAATAAGTTGCAGGAAAGTATGGGTAATATCTTCATTCTTTGCAGTTTGTCACAGATTAAATAATAAAGGTCTGCATGATTTTGAAAAAAGAATGATTATTGCTACGGCCCTGCAGAAAGGTCTTTCTTTGCATGGAACTTCCCATGCATACTGCATTATGCATCATCTTTCTCATAATTAGAGACCTTTAGTTTGACATTTACAGCTAGCGTCAAACCGCTAACGATGATTGTGATTTAACTATGCCCTCGTAGAAATTACACTAATTTTGTTACATTATAAACGTCCTACACAAAGCTCGTGACATTTAGCAATAATGATTATCAGAAAATTAGTCAGCCACCGCTAACGTATTAGCCAAGACAGTAAATTCAGCTTTTAAGTTTGAGGTTAACGTTTGCGGTATAAATTTTACACATGGATCCTGATACGTTTTATTTCTATTTTTATAATATGAATTTTGATACACTTCCCCGTGAAAAAATTTCTGCATATTTTTACATGGCCCACCCTTATGATTGCACTTAACTTTCGATGACCCACCCCTTCAACCGTGCTCAAAAATAGTGAACCCCCCCCCTATTTTTTCCAGCCCACCCCCCTTTTACTTTATGACCAGTCCCTAAAGTGTTCCTTGTCATAATGGGAAAGTAGAGCACTTGAAGCCGAAGAGAGGAATAGAACTTTACTTAACTCATATAAAGTATCAGAAAATACAAGCAAAAGTAAGTAACAAGCCGAATCAGCCCCCATCAGTGATGTTGTTAACAATATTTACATACATGTACAAGACAAAACAATTAAAGTAATTAGTCAAAGCCACATACCTGATAAAGCAACCCCTAACAATGCCATAGATGATAATCATGCACTTGAGACAAACGACGTAGGGTGCATTAATATCCAGCGGGAAATAGTTTCTACAGCGCTATCTCCTTTACCAGTAAATTCCGATCAAATCACTAATATAGTTAAAGCAGCGAATACAACAAATACGAGATCGAAACTCCACCGCCACCAAAGGCTGCTCAATAATCCTAAATCATGCAAAAAGGCGCCGGAAACTGTTATTTTAGATCCCCCTCCTCAGTCTCGCTCCGTACCCAAAACATCAGAATGGATTGGTCAATTACCCTTGATAGAAACACCCAAGTCAATCAACCAAGTTCCCAGTCGCAATAGATTTCAAAGCAAGTTATCTTTCCGAAATCATTCCAACGGATCGAACGGATCCCAACAACGACAACCTCCTTTTTTAAGCGTCCTCAGAACTGTCGGCCCCCCAGACATCGGTCTCGACGCCAAACGAAAGGCTGGTTAGATTGGATGGATGTTGTTCATCGTGTAACCACGAACGTTTAAATCATGCCTCATGAAACAACAGTGGAGCGGCTACTACGTGCAATCACTGTTTCCAAAGCTAGCGGTCCTGATGAACTCCCCAACTGGATTCTAAAGAGCTTTTCTGACATTCTGGCACCTGCAATTACTGATATATTTAATGCATCCTTCGGTGAAATCAAGGTGCCGAAGGTATGGAAAATAGCAGATGTGTCACCTGTTCCTAAAGCCAAAAACATTACTGATTTTAACAAGGACTTGAGGCCAATATCCTTAACTTCAACATTGTCAAAAATTGCAGAAAACATCATCATCGACCATGAATTAAAGTCTAAACTACTAAGAAAGATGGACCCAATGCAATTTGGCTTTATCCCAGGATCAAACACGACTCTTGTGCTTATTTCAATGATGCATACCTGGCTAGCTGCACTTGATGGGACGGTCTCTAGAGCAAGAGTCGCTCTATACTTGATTATCGCAAAGCCTTCAACCTAGTCGACCTCAATCTACTTGTTGCAAAACTAAATATAAACGGGAAGCCATTTGAAATTGTAAAATCCGCAAAAGTTCTGGGTATGATAGTTACCAATGATTCGAAATGGAACAATTAAAAAAGGCAAAGTTGGAAACATTGTACGATCGAAGAGAAAAGTTGTGTGTAAAACTATTTTCATCAATCGAAGCAAATGCTGATCATAAGTTAAAGGAACTATTGCCACCGAAAAATTCACAACCAAACAATCTCAGAACAAACAGAAAATACAATCTTCCCAAGATGCACACGAACAGATTTAGTAATTCCTTTATTCCATATTGTGCACGTAATGCAACCTTGTAGGTAATTTCAGATCATTAAGTATTTTAAATAGTTATGAACATACATTTACATTTAGATTTTAGACTTTTTATTAGAGACAACAACTATTATAATTGTGATATGTAAACATATATAGGTATATATATATATATATATATATATATATATATATATATATATATATATATATATATATATATATATATATATATATATATATATATATATATATATATATATATATATATATTAAATAATAATTTTTACAAAATTATACAGTGTTCTCCGGATTGTAATTATTTGTTTTGAGCTTTCGACTCGGTACTTCGAGTCTTAGTCATCAGAAAGTTTGATCATTTGAATTTTCGCGCTGTTGTT